ATTTTACAGATTAAGAATTGAAACAGAGAGAGACTAAGGGTATGTCTTCACTACTGGCCAGATTAGCGGGCAGCGATCGATCCAGCGGGGATTGATTTATTGCATCTAGTCGAGATGCGATAAATCGATCCCCAAGCACTCTCCCGTCGACTCCTGCACTCCAGCTTGGTGAGAGGCACAGGCAGAGTCGACGGGGGAGCAGCAGCAGTCGACTCACCACGGTGAAGACACCACAGTAAGTCGATCTAAGTACATTGACTTCAGCTACGTTATTCAGCTACGTAGCTGAAGTTGTGCAACTTAGATTGATCCCTCTCCCAGGCCTAAGTGGCTTGCCCAAAATCACACAGGAATAGGGTTGCCAACTTTCTAATCCCTGAAAACCAAACAACCATGCCTCTTCCCCAGAGTCACGCCCCTGCCCTGCCTCTTCCTCTGAGGCCCCATCCCCTGCCCCACCTGTCCCCCCCATCGCTCACTCTCCACCCCTGCCCCATCACTCGCTCTCCCATCCCCCAGGACTCACCCGCCACCTGCAGAACCGGACTGGGAGGAGCTGATGCGGAGCCTGCCCAATTGCAGTACAGCAGGGCACGGCAGGGGTCAGTCCCCATAGCGAGGGACCGAGGTGGGGAAATTGGGACACAGCGGGGCAGAGAGAGGTTGGTATGTGGAGTGAGGCCAAGGTGAAGAAATTCGGGCACAGGGTGGGGCAGTCCATTCCCAGAGCAAAGGGGCTGGGGAAATTGGGACATAGTGGGGCAAAGGGGGGCAGACAGGAAACCCCCCCCCCCCCCCGATGGTGCTGGTACCCATTTTGGAGCATGGTCCAAGAGCCAGCCAGTTCTCACCATCAGGCTGGGGGGACGGGAAGAGCAGCATGTGCTAAGCAGAGCCTCTCCTCCAGGCTCCAGCAGCAGCTGCTGCTCTTTCTGCGCCTCCTCCCCGGTGGCAGAGGACGGTTACTACTGGATTTTTAGCTTCCAATCAGCTGCCAGACATTCCAGTTGAAAACTGGACACATGGCAACCCTACACAGGAAGTCTGTGGCAGAACTGGGAATTCAATCCATTTGTCCTTAGTCCCAGGTTAGAGCCCTAACTACTGTACCATCTTCCCTGTCTAGAGAGAGACTGAATGTCTTTCTAAGAACTGCCAAGACAGTTATCTGCATTGTTCCAGAGGAGTGTAAGAAAAAACAGGGCTAAGTGCATAAAGGTCAGAGATAAGGCATTTTCAACTGCAGGAATCTGGCTGTTAAATGAACTTCCAGAGGAGACTGAACTAATCCAAACCAGCAATCTTTCTATGGTAATCGAATCTAATTAGAGGCATTCAGATACTTTGGTGACAGATGCTAGTACATAATACTATGATGGACAGATAAAAGTGGCATGGAGATGAAATTCCTGTCTCACTTCTAAAGGTGGTGCTTCTAAAAGAGGGTCAAGGATGGTTTAAGTCAGCTTACAATGCTGTTGCCCGTGCTGTATTTGTTATGTAAACAATAGAGTACATCAGTTACAAGGCTATAATGTCTGGCAACTTTCACGATGACTAATTTGCACCAAAAATTGTTTTAAAAATTACTAAACTACTTTGATTAGATTATTCACTGTTTTTTAAAACAAAACTTCCCCTTTTAGACTATTCATATGTAGAACATGTACAGTAGGAGCACGTTTTCAAAACAATGAATATGCCTATAAAATTCTATACCAGCCATTAAGTTACGTGACTGCTTGCACATCAAGTAACTGCATCTACAGGCTGCTCACTTGTAAGTACAAGTCTAGGGATTAGTGAATGCAATGGGTGTACATTTCCTCTGTTACACCCATATTTGAACATATGGCACATACTGTCTGATATCCAACTAATTTCAATTTTAAAAATTAAAGTAAATGAAGCACTTACTTTTCTCTAGTATCAACACAGCTTTCTGCTGCATCTATTAATGTTTGGGCAGCATCGTGGTTAAGCATTCCAGTGTGGTATTGCTTCTGATAACTAGCCTAGATAAAAACAAAAAATCCTCAAAAACATGAATCAACATAAAAATTGCTACAAAGTAAATGATGAAAAAAATTTGCTAACTTTTTCTCTATTCTTGCTAGAATAAAAATATTTTACAACATATCAATATCATTAAGTACAAAAATAAATTCATTTTACATACCTACATTTATATTATGTGGATAATTCCATATAAATAATTCTTCCTGTGGATTATCAGGGAGTGCACCTGCCTTCAGCTGTAAGGCCCTGGAACTGAACTCCCCAGTTTAGCAATGCAGCTTCTGTGGTAATGCTCCTCTTAAGGGGGGGTACATGTATGGGGTTCCCACACAGACCTTGTGAGGCTCCTTCCACCAATTGGTGGAGTCAAGAACCTTCTGCAGAATAGATACCCTCTTGGTCAAGCAGTGTTTGCTGGGTGTGCAGACCATCCTGAGCCAGGGTTGAGGGCACCTTGAATGCAGTCTGGTGTGGGGTGTAATGAACGTGGAGGCTGCCATGTGGCCTAGTAGTGCAGGCAGACCCATGCTTTGGTTTAAGGCAGTGGTTCTCAACCTGCAGGCTGCTTTCAGCCCAATCAGCATACAGCTGTGGCCTATATATCCTCAGGGCCATAGTTAGTATATATATGGTGTCTTTGGGGCATCTTCCATTCCTCTTCAACTCCCTAACAAGGGATTTGTGCCTTCTCTTTTTTGGAGTGAAAGGCTGATGTACGGTGTGGGAGGGCGCAGGTGTCAGGCTCTGAATCAGTAGCAGGTCTCAAGAAATGAGAGAAATAATTTGATTTTGTCTTCCCTCTGCTTTCTAGATCTGCTCTTGAAGCCAGTGCAAAGAATTTACACTTAGATAGAATATGGGCCTCCCTGAGGCAATGGAAGCAGATGGAAGAAGAAGTTACTCACCTTGTTCAGTAATGATGGTTCTTCGAGATCTGTGTCCCTGTGGGTGCTCCACTCTAGGTGTCAGTGCGTCCCTGCACCGGAGATCAGAGATTTCTCACAGCAGTACTCAGCCAGGGGAAGGGTGCGCACAGGCGTCGTCTCGTGCAGCCATTGTCACCTCCTGTAGCGCGCTCCCCCGACCGTCCCTCCGTTCCTTCTCTACTGCAGAGCTCAGCTGTGTGAACGCAGAATTAGAGGGGAGGAGGGTGGTTAGTGGAGCACCCACAGGGACACACATCTCGAAGAACCATCGTTACTGCACAAGGTGAGTAACTTCTTCTTCATCGAGTGGTGTCCCTGTGGGTGCTCCACTCTAGGTGCTTGTAGAGCAGTACCCCACCAAGGGTGGTAGGGGGTCGGAGTTATGTATAAGTGTGTGATGAGAGCACTGAGACAAGGCCTAGGGTAATAGCGTAATGCTTTGCAAAAGGCTGTTCTGATGTCCACGTTGCAGCTCTACGAATATCTATTAAAGGGGACATTGTTCAAGAATGCAATCGAAGTTGCCATGGCTCGCATTGAGTGGGATCTGATGCCCAAGGGGTTTCTTTGTGATGCAGGCGGTAGCAAGTTTGAATACAGGGAGAGAACCATTTGGAGAATCTCTGGGTCAATATTGTAGAGCCCTTGGAGTGCTCTGCTGTAGAGACGAATAGGCTTGGTGACTTGCGAAATGGTTTAGTTCTGTCCAAATAGAAGGTTACAACCTGTCTTACATCCAGCATGTGCAACGTTGCTTCTTGAGAGTCGTTATGTGGCTTGGGATAGAAGGCAGGTAAGTGTATGGTTTAGTTAATATGAAAATTTGTAGCCACTTTGGGCAAGAATTTTGGGTGAGGACGTAACATGATTTTGTCTTTGGTAAATACAGTGTACGGTGGTTCAGCCATCAATGCTCCTATTTCGCTGACACGTCTGGCAGACGTGATTGCCACTAGGAATGGGACCTTCATTGACATATGAAGGAGCGAGCAGGTTGCTAGAGGCTTGAAGCGTGGTCTTGTGAGACATTTGAGCACATGATTGAGATCCCATGGTGGTGCAGGTAGGCATACTTCTGGGTACATGTTCTGTATACCTGCTAGACAATGACGTGTAATTACGTTATATCAGGGTAGAGGTGTAGTTGAGATGTCTAAGGACTGACTCAGCAACATGCAACATCTAAACCCCTCTGGACAAGGATGACAGGATTAATGAAACTCCCCCAGCCTCATTTGCATCAAGAATGGGACAGGGAGGCATCCCCATTAGCATACAGAATGGAGAACAGAGATTCCAAGGCAAGAACCGCAATGAACTCTGGGGGATCTCTGTTTCAGATGTTAATGAACCACGTCTGCACACACCCAGCTCAGTAGTTACCAGACCAATTCTAGTAATAAATCCTTTATTGGTATTCAAAATACTGAAGCTGCCTAACTGCATTGTGAGCTCCCTCAAAGGAACACCGCCCATAGCCAGGAATGAGAAATTCCTATTGACTAGCATGAACAAAACAACTTTGGTATATCCCTTGAGCCATCAGTTTACCCATAAACAAATCTAATGTTCTCCCTTGAATCATTGTTCTTTCCCTACAAAAACCCCATACCCATGCTCAAGTAAGTGCTCTGATGCCTGGATCCAAAATTGCATCAGTTCCACTGGGACTTCATCTTCTCCTGACTTATCGTACTGGGGGCTCTGCCTGTCTCCAGCACTCCAGACCCTCAGCTACCACCACCACACGGGAACCCTGAGCAATTCAAGCTTCACAGAGTGGTGAGTAAAAAGCTCTCACAGAGACATACTATAGATGGCTTTCAGGTCTAGACCTG